ACAGATGTATGTTTGTCTCTATATTTGTTCCACAATAACATTTATACCACCGAAACAATTACTGTCAAGAGGATAGTGAGATTTGCCACCGGAACATGTTCCCCCAAATTTGGTTCACTCCTAAACTTTTTGTTGCTGAAAACCAACAATTCGAGGTATTGTTTCCGGCCCCAGGCGTTGATGCAAGGCTTTGACGGGCGATGCGGGATGGGGCGAGGCCGATAGGTGCCAAGCAAGGAGGAGAGGACGGAGCATAAATTAGTACCAAGTAACGCCGGGTTACTTCAGCTGGTATAAAAATGAAAATGTTTTTATTAATGGCGAGTTTCAGATCATAATCGAACGTATTGGTTGTGTTATACATTAAGAAATCATAGAGATGAAATTTAGTAACTACTAGAATAATTAGATTGAACAAATTTAACCGAAAGAGTAGAATGGGAAGAAAGATAGATGGTGAAGCTATGAGAAAGACTTGCGCCTGACATAGGACAACACGGAATTAAAGAGGTATAAAGTAAAAAAAGCTGCCAAATCGAAAATAAAAAGAACGAAAAATGAATTTGGCGAGATATTACAAGGAATGTTATAAATAAGATGGTGACGAGTAAGAAAAGATAGTAGGGATGTACTTTCACCGGCTTGTTTTTAACCTCGCAAGACCTTAAAATTCCATCTGTAAAAGAATGTGATGAAGTTCGAATGGGGTGGGGGGTAAATGGATGTTGAATTATTATTAATGTTATTATTATTATTATTATTATTATTATTATTATCATTATTTTGTGCAGTGCAGTGACGATGTGTAACTGAGAGAAACGAGTGAGTAAGAAAGACATTACAGCTCGCTGTATCGCAGTGCGGTGAAGTGTGGTGAAGTGAAGTTTGGTGAAGTGGAGTTCTATGAAAGATTGCTCGTGAAATTTTCATGTGATTTTGTAAAGTTTGTAGACTTTGTATAGTTGTTAAGTTCTGTAATGTTAAGTTAGTGTATTCTGCCACCAAGTTCTCACACTTAATTGCAGAATTATTAATAAATCTAATCTAAAGTTCTGAGACCGTGTGTGTCCGCTCTGCGCAGAGGATGGCCACTGCCTGTCGGAGACGCTGAACGACAAGTGGGAGACGGAGATAGGGCGCTCCTACTGCCAAGTGCGGCCCGTGCTCGTAGTCCTTAACGCAGACGCCAATCATTCGGTAAGTGAACCCTGCACAGGCGCAGCGTCTACATCAGCATTACTTCACACGAGCGTCTCTCGCATGTAAAATTGGGGTGCATGGGGGCATTGAGAAAAGAGAGTTCTCCAACGGAATTTATTAATTATGCAAGGCAAAATTTTGTTGATATTTTGAAGTTAAGCATGGTCAACGAAAGTGTCTCCGCACCGATCCGAATCAGGTCCTGCTACAAAAACTTGCATTTATATTGGTAACAACCTGATCACGGGGAAATCAGTGAAAGGGGCGACACTTCCAGAATCTATTCTGATTGCGGTGAGTACGCAATTCACCTCTTCTTTTGTTAGAAGCTGCAGCTCGTGCTACCATCACACTTTTTGTTGATAGCATTTTCACCAGCACAATGCCATTGCGGAGGGATTTTCCTGGTGCACTGTATAAAGTTACGTTACAGCTAATCATTAATACAAAAATAATACATTCTGACAATAAACGAATGAAACGTCGGCATACGGACGATGGTGGCAGCGATTTCAGCGGTATTGGTGGTAAATAATTCGCTTTATATCATACCTGCAGTGCTCATTGGCTTATAACATCCCTATTATACTATGTAGACGCTCATACTAACACAATTGTTTGTGTAACAGAAAGAGACTCAAAAGATACATAAGATAAATGAAATGTTTGAAAAGAGGCAGATGTTTCAACACAAACTAGTTTATTCAGTTTGTCAACGTACAATCCAGGCTCTTCTGGAAAATATAAAAAGAAAAGCCAAAGTTCCCCTTGCCGCAAGAATGTACCCAGTCCGTTGTCGAGTTTCGTGCCGCCAGAAGGTGTCCCTATCGGAGAACTATTCCTTTGCAAACAGAACAATAACGGTCTGGAAAACGTTGCCTTCGAACCCTTTCCTCTAGGTGTACAAATATTTAAAAGTATATTAACTAATGATATTTGTAAACTTTATTAACTAGTAAGTAATGCTTATTATAATAGTTATTATTTTATTATTATTGTTTTTAGTATTACTAATATTGCGATAATTATATTTAATGCATTACTTTATTAAATATATAATTATATTTAGAGTAGTAGTTTAATTGAACTGTCGTGACGTGTTGCGAAGTGCAGTGCAGTGCAGGACAGCCATAAAATGTAGAGTAAATATTATTATTGTTATTTAATTATTATCTATATATGTTATTAAATATTATTATCTGCAACCAGGTGGTATAACTCTGTCTGCAAAAATATTAAATCCATTTTGTACTAATCACCCGTAAAATATTAAGTATTATTAATTCAGTATTGTAAATAGTTGTTTTTTATAAATTAAACAATTAATAATTCACTAATGTAATGCAGCTTAATTCTTCATATCCTCGGATTTGCGGTACAAATACTACAGTAAAATCAAAATTTTTATAAGACGAAGGACGATCTATAAATCTCTCAACTTGACCCTCTATTACTAGAGCACTCATTTAAAGAGCTGGAATGAACTGAGTGATGCTGGCGCTGACCTGTTGTTCTGTTGCAGTACCACCCATCCGTGGTTCAGGTTGAGCGCTGTGCCGGTGGCTGCGGGAGGACCACCTGCGTAGCCACCCGAACCAAGAAACGGCGCGTGCAGGTGCGTCCCACCGAAACTAGCGGGAGTGCGCGGCATACCGACGTTTTTCCTCCTCTTGGTTGATTGATTGTTAGTGATTCTCCCGATGCGTCAACTTCTAAGGTCATTAGTCCCGTAAGTGCGGTGCATGTTTTCCTCCGAAGGTGGTGGTGGGGGTGGTGGTGATCATCTTCCCCCGCTGGATGGCGAGATCCGGCGCCGACCTACCGTCAGGTAGCGGGGTTTTCCCCACCAGGTATCTCCCACCGGTGGGGCACTGCCCAGTCGGAAAGAGCTCTAAGCTCCCGACCGATTTCCTGGCATGTGTGGTAGTATAGTGCACGTAAGTGTAAGCGTGGGTAAGAAAGGGGGAGGAAAGAAACAAGGGAAAAAATTAAACTAAATATTTCAATGTTCGGGAATACTCGACGTAAAATGAGAATAAGTCAAAAACAACATAAACCAGTTTCTTGCTAATTTGACTTGTTGGTGCTGGCCTATTTCCTCTTTGTATATAAAACGATTGAGGAAGATCTAACATAGGTATGCAGAATATGGAGGATGTGGACTGGAGGAATTAAACTTTTAACAAAAATTGACAAATTGCTTGTGAAACATATTCGCATTAGGAGTTTTTTTCGCCGAAATGGAAAGTTACAGTTCATTGGTTAATGTTGTTTCTCAAATAAACAATTAAATACATTGTACTTGTAGAGATACGTATGTCCTATCCAACGGGTATGCTATGATATGTTTTGTTTAGAACACACTCGTTATGAGTTTGGGTAGCTTTGTTCTCTTGCACGACTTTATAACGTGCAGAATACGACCCAAATCTTTGCATTTATAAATTAGGTTAATTCCTTCTCAAGGTTTTGCTTTGTCCAGGTTACCCGCACCCACGTGGGGGGTACCACCAAATGCGGTACAGTGGAGGTGCTGGAGCACGTTCAATGCGATTGCGTTGACGCAGGGGATGTGAGAAATGCCAGGTGAGTGTTCTTTTCCTCCTTCCGCAGCACTAGTTATTGTGTGATACGAGGCAAACTCATGGCCACAGTAATTAAGTTGTGAATGAAAGTTTTGTAATTGAGATCAGCGACGTCCGAACAAAAAAATAAATTTCACATTGTAACAAACTATTTTTTATGTATATCCAAGCAAATACGTATGATTCCTCCTTTGGTTTATTTTTTCTTTCCGGGCGCGTCGACTGCTATGGTCCTTATTGCTCAATGTTTAGTCAGGCGCGGATCCACGGGGAGGGAAATAAGGAAAATTCCCCTCCTAAATTTTACTAAAACTTTTAAGTTAAACCTATGACGAAACTTTCAAACAAATATATTTTCGGAAAATAATTAAAAACTAATTAAATCCTCTCGCACTATGAGCTGAGTATTGCCTGCGACATTTACAAAATCTGTAAACACATTTCTGTATGACACATTTGATCAAAACATTTTGAATTTCCTCTCCCAAATTTGTTCCTGGATCCGCCCCTGGTTTAGTACATGATATATCTTGGGAACTGGCGATTATCCTTCCCCGCTGGGACGTGAAATCTGGCACCGTTCTATACGTCCAGATAATTTCGCTAGCGAGGTATCGAACCAGCTGGAATAAACTCTAAACTCTCAACTGGTATCCCGAAATGTGTGGTAGTATTGTGTACAAGTGTGTGTGTGTGTGTGTGTGTGTGTGTGTGTGTGTGAGAGAGAGAGAGAGAGAGAGAGAGAGAGGAAGAGAGAACATAAGAGAAAACCAACAAGAGCCAGGAAAGGTTGCGTGCGCGGTCCCTGGCTCGTCGTTAATGTTTTGCTTTGACATTCACCTCGTATACATCGCAGAAACCACGGAATACTACGGGTCAGAGCTGCCGGTCATTGGATCAGTCACCCTTTGAAACTCTTGGGAAAAGATGTTCTATCAAACAAAAGAGCTGCGTTGTATGCCTTAACTTATCTTTCTGGAAAATGGATTAGTCATATTTAAAAAAATGATTTTCTTTTTTATACAGCATAAAAGTGTGCAAACGCACGAGTTTAAAAATGAGCCTAACCCCCAAACTTCGTATAATTCAAATCCATAGTCCACCACTGGAAAAATGTTTTCCCTCAAAATCATTTTCCTACATTCTTTATTAGTTATTTGACTATAATCAATTTTCCTTATCAGTCTCAAATGAAGGTTTGTTATTCTGCGACAGGGCGAACACAGGACCGAGCTCCGAAGCGGCAACGTCGCGACTAGTGAGGCCCTACTGAAGGCCTTAGGGAGGTGAAGAACCTTAGGGAGGTGAGGAACCAGCCCCTCCCAACTGCAGGTGAGATCACGAAATATTTACGCTCTTCAAGGTAACGAAATCATAGAGACCAAACCTACTTACAGGAATTGCAACTTAATTAAACTAGGAGTACTACCACAACATAATTTCTCTCATTTTTCTATCTTTTACAATTGTAGAAAATTCAGTGTGTTCAACAAAAATGACACCTGCGTCATTATTTTCAGCGTCATTTGTTCAAGCCGTGAGCAAAATGTAGAGAAAAATATTTGGAATGTTTTTTGGATTTTTTATAATTTGCATCATATTCAAGCATAAATTACATGAAAACTGACCTTTCTTTAAAAAATGAACGTCACCTTTTTTAAAGATCTGAGTTGACATGACAGATTTTAAGACATAAATATCTATCTTCAATATGTAACTTTTGCAATGTTAAATGTTTGTAAGTTTCGAAAATACAGAGTTCTCCAAAAATGGGACCAGCACCACTTTTTTATCATCCTTCAAAACACGTAAAAGGCAAATGAGAAGAAAAAAATTAGAGTCATTTTTGAGAAAGGCATTGTTTAAAAGTTGCCTATATTTGACGGAATAATAATTAAATATAGGCCAATTCATTAAAATTATTCGGAACTTTGTTCTTTAAAATTAAATACATTGTTCGAAACTTACAAATTCTACTTCAAAGTTTCGAAAATTTGTACATGAGTTTCTTTTAAGATCTGTCTTTAAGGAATAGATTTTTGGAAAGGAAAAAATCTCTATTTATATTATTGTAGTTGTAAGTAGACACAAGTTTGTTTCAACTTATTCAATTTCGGAAAAATTAGGGATTTTATCAAACATGACCTGTACCATTTTTTAAAACGATCTTTATTCTTTCAGAGGACAATGTTTAATCCAAAAATTTAGAACCACTTGTTAGAAAGTTTGAAAATATTGTTGATGATTCATTTGCAGTATTGCAGTATTGCTGAATTTATTATATATTGGAACTGTATTAGAAATGGAACATTTTATTTATAGTGTATATTTACAATAAAGTGTAATTTATAACATCCTGTGTATTGATAATACGTAATATATTTGTAATATATAACTTATCTTTTCGTTATTTTCAGTTTCGGTAGTGTAATTAATTATATATATCGTTATTAGTGTATAATGTTATTAACAATATATGAATTACAAAAAAGCTTAAACTCTTTGTACGATTGACAATGTATTTGCAAGTTTGTTACACTTTCATTGTACATCAATTGAACATAAATTTAACTAATTTATAAAAATTAAATTAAAAATGCAATTAGTTATAGTACAATTGTAATATAACAATTGGAACTTTATTATAAATTGTCACTACAATACATTCATCCGTTTTTTTATATTATGAGTTTCTTTCAATAGTATTTTGTTCTTTTTAAAAATGTGTCTTTGTCCAATATCATTTGTATCCCATTCATTACAAGTAAGTAAACAATTTCATCCATTACCACATTGTAAAAATTTCGTACCATATTCCTGAATCATTAGTACAGCTTTAGTTGTAGTCGCCATTTCATTGTTAGCTGTTTTGTTGTCAGGGATACATAAATAAAACTTCGTGTTGTAAGTAGTAAGTGAATGAAAACAATGAAACTATTTTTTTTAATTCACAAGAATAAGTATTGTTTATGTTGTCAAAGACGAGATATAAAACGGTTTAGACTTGTTACGGATAAAAATGTGTATTGCACTCAAGTAAAAAGATTTAATTCGCTCGTGAAAATTATCTCTCTCGGTCCCTATCATGGCCTCGGGGCTCAAATTTTTCACTAGCGAATAAAATCGTATTCTACTCTCTTATACCATAAATTTGTATTGTCTCATGTGTAATTCCGGTGCTCTCTCCACAGGTCTTCAATCGCGCGCTCCAGGTGTCAGTGCGCTACAAAATGCTGCCAGAAGAGACTCAAAGCATCTTAAGAGACTTGAGATGTTTTTATAAGGTCCGCTGGCGCGATATAATTACTCGTGAATTGCTCGTGAATATAATTGATATGTATGCTCCTTGTGAACATAAATAATATACTTTAAGATCATTCAATCCTTTTTTCTAACAACCCTAAATTCTAATCTTGAGTAAAGTTTTCATTGGTGTCGAATTTGCATAGTTTATATTATTAATGACAAATCATGTTTCCTTTTATAGAAAGCTTAGACTCACTTGCGTTCTGAAACTGAAATTTTACTTCATTCAATATCCTTATATTTTTTGTTTAATCACGAGTATTTGTAAAGCAGGAAAATTAAACAAAGCACCTTTTATCCATACAAATAAAAAATAAATGGAACTGTTCCTTCAGTTTGGTCAACAAATAAACAACGTTAATTAAATTGAATTAATAGTCATATCAATACGAGGTAATTAATCTCTTTAGAAATCTGAAATCATAGAGACATAAGGATGAATGAAAATGAAAATATCTCCTAAACCACTTGAATTCCATCAAAACTGATTTACTTTTACATATCAGGAAGTTTCAACGAGATATAGTCGTGTAAAAAGAGATGTGAATACATTTGATAGATCAGGGTAAAAGGAGCTGCAGTGGCCACTATTGAGAACATAGTTCGTAGTTTTCTCAAAAGTCTCGGTCTACAGTCTATTCTAAATTTATGTTTAACTCAATGGATTAGCATGCCTCATACTGAATAGATTTATCTAAAACAACCAATTTTTATTTTGTTTTATTAATATTAATATTATTTGCAAATCCCGATTTTTTTTCCATTTGTGTCCATTTCATAAAAAAACAAAAATTGGTAGTAGTCAGATACTGAACTGAGTAATGATCAATCAAAATTCTACCATCTGATCATGTTTGTGATAAAAAAAGTCCAAAAGTGTGCCAGTTCATGTTATTTTATTGCAATGTCTATATTATTAAGATATTTTCAGCTTCTTTCTAAAATACAAACTAATGATAAATAATCTTCATAATAATCCATATCACTAAAAGGCCTAAGTTTCATGTTCTGCAAGTTTAAAACAAGTGAGAAAAATCCCAATCTAATTTTTCAAATTTTCAAGTGGCCACTTCTTCTGTTCCTACTCCTAAGTGAAAACGTTTGAATAATCACTGCCAGAAATTAGTTTATAATATTCTAATTAAACGATGAATAAGGATGTATCCTTTCATTGTATCCTTCCTTCCTTTGCATTGTACATATCTGCAGTGGAAACAGTACAGATACTTCAAAGCCGTCTTGTAAAAAACTATCTTTTAATTTCATTTTCTACTGTAGCAAATAGACGCAAAAAAATGATTGAATTCTCAAACTATATACATGATATTATTATTTTTAAACTGATAATCATCAATAAGATCATTCTGATACAAATACAAGACAAATGACTGACATTCACATTTGTATTATCTCGTATATATTTTTGAAATTTGAAATTTCAAGGATACCTATTGTAACGATACCGCCAACTAATATACAAGAAAGTCGCTAAACGACAAAATAGCACTCCCACATTTTAATTCATAAACAGAATACAAACACGATGTTATCGACAGTGCTTTATTACTTTTCCAAGAGATTTATGGAACATTGGCAATATGTATACATGCGTTGTGAGGACTGAAATGTTGACGTTGAATCCATAAATAAAACAACACCGAACACTGCTCCTGTCAGAAGCCGTTCTATTGATTTTTTTTTTGCCGAAGAGTTGGTTCGGTCAGGGTTTGGTGAGGGCCCAGGAGACCCAGTGCGCGACGGCGGAGGCAGCGGACGTGACGGCGCCCACCACGCAGTTGCGCTCGCCCGCGTCGCTCCCCGCCACCCCCGCCGCGCTGTCCCCTCCCTCCGCGCGGCCCGCGCGCGCCACCAGCCCCGCCGCCTCCACCACGCCGTCCACGCCGTCCAACTGCGCACGCCACGCGCCCCCCTCCTCCAGCGCGCCTGCCGTCGCTCGCGCGGAAGCTGCTTTTCTCAAGACCTCTGAGTGGAATGCGAGTTTCAGCCGCGAGGAGGCGGATCATTTCGTAAATCCCGGGGCGTCAACTGCTATGCTCATTAGCTCCAAAAGTGTAGTGAACGTTTCATCGCGAGAAAGGGCGGTGGTCTTCCCCGCTGAATGGTGAGATCCGATGCCCACCTAAACGTCGACTTGTGGGGTTTTCTTCAAACAGGAACCTCCCCCCAGTGGGGCATTGCCCCATGTGGGACACGCTCTCAGCTCCCAACTGGCCCTCCGATATGAGTGGTTGTGTAGTTTGTGTGTGTGTGTGTGTGTGTGTGTGTGTGTGTGAGCGGTGAGGATAGGGCAAGGAAGAGGAAAGGAAGATTGCGCGCGGTCAGTGACTCTTGTGTTAGTGTACTGCTCCGGCATTGGCCTGGTGTTGATCGGAGAGACCCCGGAAAACTACTGACCGGCCGCGATAATTCTCACGACAGTGCCTGAATTCGACCTAGCTGTTTATCTATCATGGAAAGTCCTGCCACCGTTGGGACTCGAACCCTAGGAGGTGCTGATCAGAGGCACTGCAGTGACATCAATTGATGCATGAGCCACCTAAGGAGATGTTATTTATGTTTCTGGGCATATTGACTGGTACAGTAATTCGTCCCGGTGGTGAAGTGAATATTTTAGACCGTGAGATGGCAGTGATTCTCCCCCAGTGGATGGTGAAATCCGGAGTCGACCTGATTGCGCCACTAAATATTGCTTTCAGATTCCTATGTTACCCAAGAAAAAAAATCCTATATACTTACTTATTTCGAAGGCATCAGAGAAGAGATTTCGGCTTCCACTTCTGGGGGAATATCGTGCCTCCAAAGAGTTTCACCGAAGATATTTAAGTCAATTAAAATCCTACAATCTAAACTTATAACATGTATTACTATTTCGGACGCCCGGAATTTTATGCGACATCACCAGCGCACAGGGTAATATCGAAAACGAACTGAGTAAGTATTTTAATGTCACCGTTTAGCGGACTTTTCCGACGCAGAGTGTACCTTCCGCCCAAATGAACTCAAATGGCTAAACGGTCGTTGATAAGAGCTCGACCTGCGCGCTGTATCCCCACTGCCATGCGTTGCACAGAACTGAGAGAGAAAATGCTTGTCCAGGTGCCAGTGATGGTAAGTAATCGCATCCAAACATAACTGAGGATTGCCTCCTGAACTGGTGCTCTGTTACATCGGTCCGATACCTGAGAAACCTTGTCATCTTCTAGTAACCTCGCGGAACAAGCTACATCCGTTATAAGCGCTTCTTTTCTTTATAGGTCCTTCAACTTTTGATTTTATGAATTTTCGATTATGTAATATCCACTGAATAGGTCACACAAATCCAAGCGTCTGACGGGGTGAGCGAAGAAATTAAGTTAACTGTACTCACCCGGAGGGACACTTTAATCAAATCCGCGGTTAAAGTCTGCACGGTTCGACAAGAGAAAACTCCTTGCAAAGGAAAAATACTTCCTCAGAAAATGAATAAATTCATATATCATTTTTTATTTTAAAGATAGAACGTGACTGCTCTACTAAGCTGTTTTCAAAATCAATGCAGGATACATCCGAAAGTCAAGAAAGTGGTGGGGATATATTGATATTCCCGCCATACAAATCATGCCGACATTTTTCTGGTAGAATTATTTACATTTTTAGCCATTCATTATTCCTGTTCTTGACTGCAAATATTCAAGAGCAAGACTACAATTCTGAAGATAATTCTTCGACACGGCGTATTAAAGAGTTTAGACTGAAGAACAAACATAAAGGTATGTACACATTTGTTTTGTATCAAATCGTTTCAAAATTTTAATTGAAAAGTTACTTGAAATATTTTTGTAAAATGCAATAACTCTAAACAACTTTTTCAATAATAGAACTACGTTGTAAGAAAAAATTATATTTACTAATTCACCGACATATCGCTAGTAGGCAGTAATAGTGTCGCAACTAAAAAAACATTTTAAGTTAATACTCTCCTCAGATTTGCAGATTGATCTATCTTCTAGCACCTACAGATCTTACTATCTATCTTACAGAACAGTATTGCACCAACAAACGGAAGATGTGTGAATGCAAAAATGATGCATTTCAATACAAGGTTATCTCCACATCTGATTATTTGACTTGTGCCATTATTGCAGGCCACGAACGATGTGCACTTAAAAGAAAATCCAAATCGAAAAAACGCACAGGATTATCTTAACAAACTTAGGAAAGCAAAAGGAATGTTTGCATGGACAGGCATGTCAAGACGGAATTCAAAATCGTAACGCTTCGTACTGAGCCCTAAGGCACTCGCGCATTAGCCGCTTCAGCTGGCAGGAACATTTAACCATTTTTATAGTATTTGGTTACGAGTGTTCCTCTTTTACACCTTTTTGACATTGCAGTGCAGGTGTAAGTTGACCCCAGGAAAGGTGGGAGCAGCCAGTTCATCTCCCCGAGGCTCATGAATCTCAAGAAAGTCAGTGAACATCAACGCACATTTCTTTTATAATCTGAACATTGAAATGTATACATTTAATGTTTATCTCTTACCTTATGTTTTTCATTTTTGCATGTTAATATATTTTCAATCAATAATAACGCGCAGATCACATTGTATTATGTCTTGTTCTGAGACAAATCGCGACACAATATACTCTGTCTCTCTCAGAGGTGACATAAAGCGAATCCAGAAAAGCAGAGTACCGGCCCTTGTGAATAGTTCAACGCAGAAGAATAAACTAAACCTTATCTAAATGATCAGTATAATAGATGGTATTCACTTACACATGAATTTTGTTATGAGGGCCCTCACCCCTTCCTTGTACCTGGGTGTATTAGGAATGCACTAGGTTGATTGATTAGTGATTCCAGTCGCGCCAAATGATATGACCATTAGTTCCGTAAGTGTAGTGTTTGTTTTTATAGAAAAACGGCGGGGGTGATTTTCTGGAAGGTGGAGGCTGGAAGGCGAGATACGGCGCCGAACTATATGTCGTTTTGCTGTTTTTTTCGAGCCGGCTATCTCCCACCAGCCGGGCGCCACCCCACCGGGACAAGTGAAAACTTCCGACTGCTCCCCGACAAGTGTGATAGTGTAATGCATATGAAAGTATGTGTGTGTACGTAAGGTGTGAGGACAGGGCAATGATAAGGAAGGAATAATCGCGCGCGGACCGTGGCCCGTTTGTTACTCCAGTATGCGCCTAGTGTTGATCTGAGAGCAGAAGAGGCCGGAGAGCAAGGGCGCAGGGCGCGGGCGGCAGCCACCCACCTCGAACGCGAAGTCGGGCGAGGCGGGGGCCGCGGGGATCTTGTGGTCTGCGGGGGCGAAGGCGCCGTCGCCGCAGCGCTCGCACTCGGCGCGCGACGGACAGCGCGCGGCCGCCGACGCAGCCGCGACTCCGCGAAGAGCGAGCGCCGGCACGTTCGTCCGTCGTCGGACGGTCTCCGACGAGTACGGGTACTCCGTATCGTCACGATCTCCAGGGCACAAGCTCGGACCGACGTCGCGCGGGCACGGGCAGAGCGGCAGGGCGGCGGGCGGCTGTGCTGCAGGGGCCGAGGGGGATGAGCACAGACGCCGCAGCGAACGCCGCGACGCCGCGTTCCTCGTCGCGCAGGACGCAACGTCGCCAAGGAGTCGTCGCTGCGCAGCTCGTCGGTGTCAGCAACGACGCGCTCCAACCTCACCGCACC